TCAATTAAAATTATTATGTCATCCATTAAGAATTGAATTTATTGAAGAATTTAATAATGTATTTGCAAGAAATTCTAATGAAAAATTTATTAATCAATTAAATAGTGCATATGAAAAACAAGACTTTAATAGATTTTTAACTCTTATTATTAAAGCATGTGATATGGTTGATAAAAAAATTAAAACAATGGAAACATCTATTAGAGAACATTGGAATAATATAAGTAATAAAGCAAGAAAATATAAAGAACAAATAAATAATAAACAAAGTGGATTTGCATTTAGTTTTATTGAAGGAGATTTAGTTAAGGCATTAAGAAATGGATATTGGATTCTTCTTGATGAAATTAATTTAGCATCACATGATACATTAGAAAGAATATCAGGATTACTTGATGGAGAATCAATTTTATTAACTGAAATAGGAGATGTAACACCAATTCCAAGACATAAAAATTTTAGATTATTTGCTAATATGAATCCACCAACTGATGTTGGAAAGAAAGATCTTGCACCAGGTATTAAATCAAGATTTCATCCAATTCAATTTGATGAAATTATTGAAAGAAATGATTTACAAATGTTAGTAGAAAATTATTTAAATAGCATAAAGAAAAACCACCAGCTGAAAAAATTGTTCAATTTCATTTAAAAGCGAAACAACTTGCACATGATGAACTCTTTGATGGAGCAGGACAAAGACCATTATTTTCATTAAGAACACTTTGTTTAGCATTACAATATATTACAGATGTAACACCATTTTTTGGATTTGAACGAGCACTTTATGAAGGAATGAGTATGTCATATTTAACTCAATTAAATAGAATAAGTTATCCAATAATGGAAAAGTTAATTAATGAAACATTTAATAAAACAAATAACAGTGGTAGTTTACCAAAGAATAAAGAATATATTAATTATGGAGGATATTTTATTGAGAAAGGAGATGAAGAAATAAAAGTAGATGAAAAATATATTTTAACTGAAACAACAAAAAAACGATTAGAAAGTATTTCAAGAATAGTTATGTCAAAAAGATATCCAATATTACTTCAAGGACCTACATCTGCAGGTAAAACTAGTTTAGTTGAATACCTTGCAAAAGCAACAGGACATAGAATGGTTAGAGTTAATAATCATGAACAAACTGATGTTCAAGAATATCTTGGAAGTTATGTTCCAACAGAAGATGGTAAATTAATATTTCAAGAAGGTATTTTAGTAGAAGCAGTAAGAAAAGGATATTGGATTGTTTTAGATGAATTAAATTTAGCACCATCTGAAGTATTAGAAGCATTAAATAGATTATTAGACTTTAATAGAGAATTATATATTCCAGAAACACAAGAGACAGTTAAACCACATCCACAATTT